TTCTTCTAAACTGGCTAATTCCTCTAAACTGGCTAATTCCTCTAAACTGGCTAATTCCTCTAAACTGGCTAATTCCTCCAAACTGGCTAATTCCTCCTTCCTCCTGTTACCCTCTTCACCCCTCCCCCCAGATTAGTTCCGCACCCTTCTAGGTAGCCACAGTACAGAAACATTTCTCATACTGTTTCAGGAAGAACTGACAACTTAACCTCAGGTTCTGGCCGCCCACTTCCTTCTATTAGAGACACAGTAACAAAGGAAGTTGATGTTGACATCCTTGGGCAAACCCAAGGAGGAACCATTTAAAAATATTATAGATGGGCTTAGGGGGTGTGTATAGCTGAGTGGTAGAGCACCTGCTCAGCATGCTGGAGGTCCTGGGTTCAATTCCAGTCCCTCCATTAAAAAAATGTATATATATGTATATCACATTAGAAAATATATATATTCTATATATATCTTATATAAATATATGTATATATTAGAGAGGGCTGCCAGGACCTGGGGGACCTGGATCCTGCCTCTCCCTCTGTTCAAATTGGAACAAGGTGTCAATTTTCCTACCATACTGTATTATATGGGAGATTACATTTTACATGGGATTGTTAACTTCAGCACTAAAGTGGAACTAGTTTATTCCACTTTATTAGAATATTATTATTATTAGAATATTATTCTAATTGGAATATTAGAGCTATTCCAAACTCTCCTTGAATAGCTTAATTGTCCACAAAGTTTTGTATATGCAACCCTACATCAATTTCTCTGGCTCTCTAATACCCATTGTTGCTCTGTGGTTCTCAATCAATTAAATGTCTTCTTTAAGTTTTAGACCAAGTCATTAGACTCTTCTTGCCTGGTCACCTGACAATGTGTTTCACTTCAGACATTCCCCACAGCCCCCACCCTGATTTCAAGCTTGGTCATGTCTGTTGCTTATTTGATGCACTGGGACGCTGCACAGTAAGTACATGACTGAATTCAGGTCAGCTAACTGTGGCACTCCCATGTGATTGCTTCTTCACTACTGCATCCCCAGTGGGTGAACCAGGGAAGGTTTCACAGCGGGGTGACCTTGAACACTTGGTGGGGGAGTCTGTCAGGTGAAAAGAAAAGGGAGGGGCAGAAGCAGAGGCATTTGTCAAGGCAGAGAGGTGTGATAAGAGCTTGTGACTGAGGGACAGTCAAAAATTCAATGTGGTTAGAGTACAAGGATGTGCTGTTAGGGACTGTGTACACCACATTACTAAATCTGTGGGAGATGCAGTTTCCTCACCTATTATAGTGGGGATAGGACCTGCCTCCAGGGCTTTTCTGAGCACCAGGTAGGCAATGCTCTGAAAGCACTTATTCCAGTCTTGACACATAGAAATGACAAATGAATTCGAGTTTCCTTTCCTACTTTCATTCTTAAGAGTTTGGACTTTATCCTATAAGCAGGGGGTGATATTTAATCACCAGTACAACCCGGGTACCACCAGTCAAAACAAACATGGGTCACAACCAACTAGCTAAGGGAATTGTTTTTAGGGGATTAAGTGCCCACAACTAGAGTGATGGAAAGCACTGAAACAGGAAAATCCAGCTGCCCTGGGAAATGGTGCGTCCTTCATGTCCTCTAGGATTTTATCCACATCTGGTCCATAATAATCCACCTCAAACCAAATAAGCTAATTTTACCTCTTTGTAGGTACATTGTTATGTGGCTGACCTCAGTGCCACCCACGAGAAAACTGAACTGGAAGGGAATGGAACTGACATGCTAAATGTTTTATGTGTTCTCTTTTTTGATCCTCACCCAATCTTGGGAGGTAAGGCATTATCAGCTGCTTTTTATTATTGTGGAAACTGAGGCTTTGGTTGACGGCTGATCCCTCAACAGGCGGTGAGAGGCTTCTAGTGTAGGTCCATATTGTTCCCAAGTATGCCTTTTTCTCTGTCACTTTGGGGTTCTAGAGTCCTTCTCTTCAATTAAAGCTTCAAGAACATTTACCATTTCTCACTCACCCATCCAGCCATCCAACCCATGTTCAAGAAAAACAACTAAAATGTATTTTTTATTTCACAAAAAAGTGTGACATGCGATACCCATCCCCTAACAAACTAAACTACAAACTCTTGGAATACAGAGTAAAAAGGAAATCCAGTCAGTCTTGATGAGACAAAAATTTGGTTTCACAAAGCTGAAAAATCCATTACAAAGTCTCTATTGTATAAATATAGTCAGTCTTATCTTTAATGTAGAGTGAGACAAAAAAAAAAAGTTTTGTTGGCATAAGAAATCCCCTGGTCCTTGAATACAGCACAATCTTCATTTGTATTCCTGGCCAAACAGAGGTGATGTCTATGTGGTAAGAGTTACATATGTGTTCAAGGACTCTTAAGTAGCCAAATAGGATTTAAGTATTTTATCTCCTGAGCCCACAGTCTCTCCCCCAATAGCTTGTGCAAAACACTATAGCCTTAGTTACTTAAAGTAACATGTGTCTGTTTTAAATTTGGTTGTGGTAATGGATGCACAATTCTGTGAGTATACTAAAAATCTATTGACTTGCACATTTTTTTTCTCTTTTTTCTTTTCTTAATGGAGGTACTGGGGATTGAACCCAGGACCTCCTGCATGCTAAGCATGCACTCTACCTCTGAGCTATTTCCCTCCCCCTTGAATTGTACATTTTAAATGAGTGAATAGTATGGATTTGAATTACATCTCAATAGAACTGTTAAAAAATATCGAAGGTGTGTCTAAGTTGCTGGGGGAGCAACAGATGACTCCCATAGCATAACTCAGGAGCCCCTGCCAGGACACAAGGAAGATACGCAGAAGTTGGTACACTAAGGGGTAGTTGAAAGGAGGGAAGGAGATCCTTAAAGTATTATGACCAAATCAGTGGAGTCTGAGGTTGCTCTGGGAGCACTCGGTTTCAAGATGTTAGAGTAAAGACGTCAGCAGGGTGTGTGCTTTTTCCTGTTGATTCTAGAATACTCTAAGGACCGTCTGTGGCCTTTGTCACAAAAGAAAGTTATTTGGTGGAAAAGCAGATGCCTGGGGTATTGTTGAGGCTACAGGAGACTTTAGGCTGGAGCTCGGAAGCTAGCTGTCTGCATCCACTGGGGGAAATCCCACCATGGCCACAGGTTCTGAGAGCCTGAGTCCCACAAGAAGACAGGAGGAGGGAGAATTTAGATATCAAAGAAAAGCTTCTAGATTCACTGAACCAAACTGAAGCCTGCCTTCAGTGATGCTCCTGTTGGCCAGAAGTCACAGCAGGGTTCCAGTTCTCACTGACTCTTTTACAAGACCACTGCCAGGGTAGCAGAGGCCAATCAGATCAGCAAACCACTATGTGGCAGACAAACCACTTAGAAGTGCTGTCTAAATTCTTCACCTACCTTCTGGTCACCAAATGGCCATTTAAGAAAGGGGGCAGGCACAAATCATGGGCAACTGGGCCCTTAACCAGGTTTGGTCATTCTAGCCAGATAGTGAGAGAAGGAGAATTGCCATTAGTAGAAAGGCAAATAGAATTTAAACTCTTGCTCTGGTTTTACCATTCTAGCTGCTTAAATTTCATCGGATATAACTTGACATGGAAGTGGAGAAAGGGGGCACAGAGGACTTTGACTTTACTCACCTTTCAGAAGGGATACTGCCAGAAGCTGGGACTAGAAGTCTTTTTAGTTTTTTAGCACACAGAGGAAATGAGAACGGAAGAAGGGTAGGACAGGGACTTGAAAGTGCGAAGGTCCCCGTTTGGTGGACACCTTGTCCAGCTCCCCTAGTTAGTCCGGTAGACTGATCTGGATCTGTGCTGGGGTGTGGGCTGGGAGTCCATGCCTTTCTTGGCCAGCCTAGAAATTGTTTATTCTGTGGCTGAGCAGATGTGTTAAGCTTAGAAGCAGACATCATGGCCACCTCAGGTCCATCCCAGTTAGGGCTGGCTCCCCAGTATGGCCCCACCAAAACCTTGGCCTCCTCATGTTCTTTCAAAATATGATACCCTTGTTCCCTAATATGCCCAGGTCTCTAGGAATGGGGGACTCAAGGGTGAGAAATTTCGCTCACTGGCAATGTTTGGCATCTCTGGGTAAAAGCAAATAGAGACTAAAGCTTGAACATCTGGGCTTGGGACTTACCTGGTTCTCTTTAGTGTCATAAGGAGATGGAGGGAGGTTAAAAAAAATGTAGGGGGAGAATAGAGCCACCTCCATCAGAGCTTTGGGCATTTTCTTGACGAACTTCTTCCTTTGGCTCCAGTGAAAATATTTATCACTTTAGGGAAGGGAATGAAGTACCTAGTTTTAAAACAAAACAAAACCAAACCAAACCTTCCTTATTGCCTCTCTTTGTGCTTATCAGGCCTTTTCTTACCCAGGCCTTACTCATCTGGTCCTCAGCCTATCCATTATGCCAGTTCGAGCTGGTATTCCAGGAGAGGTGAATCCAGGCAACCACGAAGATGGTGCATCAGGGCTGCCAATACCCTCCTCCCCGAGCCTCGCTCCTAAAGTTGTCGTGTGCTGAGGGCATGTGATCAGGGAAACTCCCAGCTGCTTCTGCCCTTAAGTAAGAGGACAGAGGAAGTAGTTTCTATACTTAAGAAGAGAGAAACATTTTTGTTCCAGAGCTATAAGAAATATGAGCAGATGAAGCTATGGCTCCGACGGCTGGGCCATTTTGGGAAGCAAGATGCAAGCGAGGGAGTGATATATAAACAAAGTGTGGGTATATTTGGCAGGTTTGAGGCAAGCAGAAAGGAAGGTTCGGGTACTCTATAAAAAAACAAAGCTCTGAAATTCAAACTTCCTCTGATAAGGCCACAATGAAGAATTTCCGGCAGTGGGTGTTGCAGGAAGCTGGCACCCACACTGCCACAGGCTTGCAAGGTGCTGTGCCCAGGTGAGGGGGCAGGTGAGGCGGGGCAGCGCCCCTCACAGGTCCATGTCTGGGCCTCCTGAGGATGTCTTCAGTGGTACCGAGTCAAACCCATCAGGAGTCCTCTGAAAGAGAGATGGTGACAGGAGCTGGCTGCTGCACGCGGGCAAGTTTGGGGAACAAAGGAGAGAAATGGAAAATAGGTGACGGAGGAAGCCTCATGAGATTCTTGCTTTTAGTCGCTTTGTGGAAACATGGACATAAGATATCCTCTATTCTTCTTGCCCCCTTCAGTCAGTCAGAGGATAAGAAACATCTTTAAAACCCCTTGCTTTACATCTTTGCTGAATTCTGGAAGGTCCAGAAAGACTCAGGGTTTCCAGGGTAAAGTATTCCCCCATTGGTTAAAAAAAAACAGTCAACATCTAAGGAGGCCAAGGGAGTTGCCCTGGGAGGTCAGCACAGGGGAATGAGGTTTGGGAAACACCTACCCACATTCCTCTCCTTACCACCCTCCCTATCCAGTTTGGATGAGCTGAATCAGGGCGGCTGTGAGTTGTGGGTGCTGCCAGAGTGGGACCACAGAAACCTGTGGCCCTGGAGCAGTTGCTTGAATAGTCTCTGCTTGTCCCACGCCCAGTGAGTGTTGTCTGAACTGCATTTATGAGCTTCAAACTCACTCACTCACCCACAGCTCTCCCAGCTCAGAACTGCTCGGCAGTGAACAGCCTAGATAGACTTAGCTATGACTCAGCCCTCAGAGGACTGGCCCAGACATCCAGGGGACAGCATCCTCCGCTGGCCAAAGGAGACCCTCACTTCCATCAGAAGTTGATCCTAGAGATTGCCTCTTCCCCCTCCCTCCAAAAAAAAAAAAATGGACAGGAGCAGGGATGATTCTTACAACATGGATGGTTCAGTACTCCTTCTGGAAGTTAAAGGGCCCAAACAGTCCATGCATGTTGGGAGAAAAGGGGCCTCGTCAAGAGCAGCCTTGGGCCCCAGAGGAAAGAGTGTCGGTGTGGAAATACAAAAGGCAGAAGCCAGGATTCTCAGGGTGGGGGGACAGAATAGAATGGAGGGTGGAGGGCAGAGTAGTGGTCCCTGAACAGTGTGGCACCATTCAGTGTCCTAGGACTGGTGTCTTTTCCAGCTCTCCAGGCTGACGTCAGTGCTCCCTACCTTGGAGGTAAATGATTTGATCTTCCCAAAGAGTGACTTCTTGCTGGTGAAGATGAGGTCATCCTCCACATCTTCGCCCTCCATGATGGCACAACTGTCAGCTGCTGGCAGGTCACAGTCCTTGAGGGTAGCGTTCATCACCAGCTTGGAGTACTTGTACTCTAATCTATGAAACAAGGAGGAAGGGAAAGACAAGACACCAAAATGTGAACTAAAGGGGAAAGAAGGAGAAAAGCTGAATGATAAATAGGTATTCCCATATCATGGGTAATGGAAGTGAAGCATGGCAAAATGGCGTTAGGTCCAGGCATATAGCTAAGACTCTTGGCTCCCAGGTCAGTGATCTTTTTCCTTAAGGCTGGCTGTTTCTGTGATCTCAAGGCTTAATAGAAATATTGGAATTATAAAGTCATTATTTTTGTTAATAACAACAAATTAAGAATTCTCTGCTTTTTTTTTTTTTTGGTGGGGTTAGGTTTATTTATTTTAATGAAGGTACTGGGGATTGAACCCAGGATCTCATGTATGGTAAGCATGCACTCTACCACTGAGCTATACCCTTCCTTCATCGTTGTTTTTCTTTTGATGATCTAACAGCCATTCATAGATTGCCATGTGGTACCATCCCTGTTTAGGAGTCAGAATAACCAAGGCATATACCAAATAAGTGGCTCAGCAAGTCTCTGGCCAGAGTCACAGGGACTATGTCCAACTCCAGAGAAAAGCTCCATGAATTTGTACTCTCAGATATTCCCCTCCTCGCTCAAAGATCCCACCCTGGCTACCCCCAAACTCCAATACCCCATATGTACTTTTGATTCTTTTTCCAAAAGTAACAGGTCAAGACGGTGAGCAGGATGGCAGTGCAGGTGCCTCCAGAGATGCCCACTTTCAGCCAGAAATCTAACGTTTTGCAGATGGTGACTCTCTGCTCAGGCAGGGAGATGCCACCGGAGCATAGCTTTGGTTCTCGCCACACGTAGGTCGTTTTCTGTTGGGGAGAAAAACAAGGAACTCAGATATCACATTCTGTTCTCCCCTGGGAAGTCCCCAAACAGAGAAACATACCTGGATCCCAGCCACGCAGCTACTGACGATAGCATGGTAGTCAGAAGCCGAGCAGAGCGGGCAGGCAGCCACACTCTCCCACAGGAAGTGGAAGTTACAGCCATCACAGGTCCCTTCGGAGCATGTTCTAGCAAAGCAGAAAGGAGACTTGAGGGCTTACTCGCCAGACAGCTGGGAAGATCTGGCTGGAGTCCTGTCATCGCACAGCTTGCCTGATACATCCTCTCCTTGCCAAACTCTTAGCTCCATCAGGATCCTTCCACCTAGTCCTCAACCCAGGTTTTGCTCTCCGACTGCCCTTCTGCTAAGCACCCTCCCCTAGGTTCCCCACCTTCTGCCTGTTTGTTTCTACTGACAGCAGATGAGAGCTAATGTAAGCTGTCTGAGCCCCAGCAGGCTGCCCAACTAACATGCCCAGCTAACAGAGGCTCCTGTTCTCCCCATGGACATGTGACATTTTGCAGAAGTCACTTTTATGCAGTTTCTTGCCGGGGAGGGTGGTGGGGCAGGGTTCAGGAATGGACTTCAGGTCATGGCTCTCTGTCATGTACTTTTCTGTAATGTTTGCAACGAGAAGAGCGAGCCTACATTTTGACACCACTGCTGGGTCAAAATGTCCTGCTTGGCTCTCCATCTCCCTGACCATTTTCCTCAAGACACTAGTGCCCCTCAATATGTTAGTGTTATGTGGAAAAATAAAAAATAAAAAGGGAGGTGGGGGTAGGGTACTGTAGTCAGATTAGTTCAGGAATTCTCGACTTAGTGCACTCCGCTATCACGCTCAGAATTGGGTCTTTTCGTTGTGGAGAGATTGCTAGGATTCCCTAAACTTTTACTAACCCTAATAGTCATAGCAAGTACATTGCTGACACCGGGGGAAGTCCTCAAATTTCATTGTGTCCTTTAATCCTTACAGCAACCCCATAAGGGAATTTATTATCATCCCCATTTTACATATAAGGAAGAGGAGGCTTCGAGAAGGTAAGAACTGTATCCATAACAGAGCTAGGAAGTGGAGGAGGGAAATTGAATGTGGCTCTCAGCCCCAGCACTCAGTCACTTTGCTAGGCAGCTGCCCTGCTGTGGTCTGGGAGTGGGAGGGCAGCTTTGGCTCTTCCTCCTGCCCCATTCTTGATATCTAAAGACTGAGGATTTGAAGCCATGGCTGTGTCCCCAAGAGCCCATTAATGGATCTTGGATGGCTTTCTCTTTTGCTTTTTCAGTAACCTTTGGTTCTTGGGGTGGGATGAGTCCAGGGAAGGGAGACTTTGTTACGTCCCTTTACCTTGGCAGCGACAGACTCCCAGGCACAGGTTTCAGCGGACTGCATCTGACGCGGATGGTGGTCGACCTCCCAGAACTGCAGGACTGGGTCACGTCATTGGACCTGCAGAGAAAACAGCCCCCATGGGGGAATGAGTCACTCATCTGTGCCACTGGAGAGCCACCAAGTCAATATGGAACAGTTCCCCCACTGGGGGAGTCAGGACTTGGGCTCCAGCCTGATGCATAGGAGAGAGTGAGGATCAGGGAGATCTGGTCGGGGGAGATGCGCTGGTCTAGGAAACGTTAGCATATGCGTAATACTGGAGCCTCCTTAGATGGGAAGGGTAGTCCTCCGTAGGTCATCCAATATTCCTCCCTGCTGCCGGGGCAGACCTGCCCCAGTAATACCCAAGAAGCTGGGATAAAGAACTCCCAGCCTTTAGCTCTCATGGCTAGGCTGATCTGCTAGCCCTTGGATGTGTTCTGACTTGATGAGTAGTAGGTGGCTAGAGAGGGAGGGACACAACAGAGATTGCGGGGGGGCCCTTGGTTTCCCTTGCATTATCCTAGCCTCTCGTTTTCACCTATAAAAGAAGATCACGTCCGGTATTCCCAAGGACTCCGGGTGGAAAAGTTCAGCTGGGGAGGTGATTCCATCCAGAGTCATATTTGTTGTCACACCTGCCAAATTAGAGCTCCTAATTAGTTCTCACTAGTAGCATTTAGCTGGCAACCACTTCAATCTTTTCAATATCTGTCTACATCCAACCTGCCTTCATCTCATCACATCCCTAAATCGCTCATAAAGGGTGAATCAAAGTTTTGTCAGTAGCTCCAGGGGCACTTGGTGTCCCAGGATGGACTAGAAAATAGAGGTCAGGACGTCGGGCCCCTCCCTCATCTGGGACCTTTTACCTTAGTGCCCAGTAGCCTCACTCTCTCTTACACAGATTCACGAAAAACAGACTAGAGCAACTGAGTTACTCACCGATAAGTCGATCGGCGAGGCTGACAGGCTGCGAGGACACTCCGGCCTTGTAGCCTGTCACCTCCGGGGGAATGATGACCGCCTGGCAGACGTAGGCTGTGATGGATTTGGAGAAACCTGACTCACCCTCAGGAATCCGGAGGTCTGTGACATTGTCGGTGCACACGGACATTTTCTTACCCTGGGCAGGGGATGTGGGGAGGAAGTGGGAAGGAGCGAGTGATCACAGAATAAGTCCCAAAAGGGAACAGGGAACAGTATTTCCATGTCTCAAATTTCAGCCTTCCAAGAGTATGCTGCGGTGGAATGATTCATCCCAATTCTAATTACAAGACAGATTTAAAAAGATAAAAAAGCTAAGGATAAGGCCTAGGTGTCCTAGTTTCTGAAACTCTGGCCAGAGACCTCCCCCCTCAGTCTTTTGTTTCCATGGAGTCACCTGGGAGGCTTGTAGGAGCAGGGTTGTGATGGTGGCAACTGATTTGGAGATCTAATCTACCAGCCCACTGGTTAAGGGCCTTCCTTATCCTAGTTGGTTTTCTCGGCAGATACTGAAACGTGTGACTGACCACGTGAAATTTATTTGAATATCTGGCCTGTTTCACATTCCCTCTCTGTGACTTCCTTGGAGCTGTGATTCCACCATGCTTGTCTTGGAAGCACTTTCCAGACAGTGTCTCCCAGGGGTTAAAACAGGGTCCTCATAACCAGCCTTTTCCCTCCCTGGAGGGAGGGCATCGTAGGAGCAACTGGAACCTATTCCATGAAAAAATATTTATCAAGAGAAGAAAGATTGCTTCCCCTCCTAAAACAACCCAAACTGTATAGAATAGAACTCTGGAAGATGGTAGGAACTGAGACTCCTTCCTCGTGATTTTGTAATAGAAGAAATATTGAGATATGGATGGTTCCTTCAAAAATTTCTTAAATGTATGGAATATCAATATATAACTTGCCTGCTAATGTAAAATCATTTGTTCAATATTTTAAACTTAAGTAGATTAAGCATTTAGAATGTAGTATTTTTGATACTATAAATTTTATTACAAATAGAGCTAAGTTGCTAAATCTGGTATTTATTTTCAAGATTGTAAGAAATAGGTAAAGAACACGAGAACAGAAAGAAACCTTCATGTTATGTAAGAATAAGGAAGCAAAGAAGAAGAAAAAAAGAAAGCAGAAAAAAACACAGACTCTCCAAATTCCCATCTTCTCTCTCCCAACTCATTGAATGAAATTTTTGCTATGTGGGACTTGCTGTCATCAGTCTCAATTCCTGAGTCATCACTGTCACCTCGCAGGCTCTCTTTTAACTTCTTCAAAGACTTTTGAAAAACGAGATAGAGACATCTGTCTCCAGTCTTTCACAGATTAGCCTATTTCTTGACAAGTTCTCTATATAAACACAAATCAACTGTTTTGTGTGCTGCAGAAGATGTCTAGAAGCTGTGTGGTGTAAAGGCCTTACCTCCACACAGAGTCACAGACTACATGCTCAAGACACTCTTTATTTTGTAACGTTCGAAACTGACTTTCCGACTGTTAATCCTGGCTTGTTTGTAATTTAGTCAAGTGCAGTCTTGATGTGATCACCCTTTACATTTCTGCCTTTGAATCTGGGATCCAGAATATTTGCAGCAGCATGAAATGCTGACGGTAACATGTACTGTCAGCAAAGATACATGTAGATGAACTAAGCATGATTTATTTTATCCAGCCTCTAGACAACACATGAACAAGTGCCATGATTACTGAAGACTGCTTTTTCAAGGAAAAAGAAAAAATCTTTCTCCTACATAGTTTTTTTAAAATTGAAGTATAGCTGATACACATGCATAGTTTTTATGTAATCATTTTGAGGGAATAAAGAAAGGTCAGGGAGGAGTCAATGGATACTTTATTTTAAACACTTTCATTTTTGTAAATGTTTCTAATCCAAATGATTTTACTTTGGAGGAGAAAGTCCTCAGGGAGAATAATAATCATTTAAAAATTTTGAATCCCACCCCCCCCCCCCGCCCCGTTCCTCTGCTGCCTGACTCTCCTGTGTCCTCTCTGGCCTCTGATCCACTGGCGCCCCCTTTCCGTGCTCACACTGTCAGCGCCTGCACACCTTACCTGGTTTCCGCAGAGACTGAGGGTAAAGTGGTGGAAGTATTTCAGCCCTTTGGAAGTGAAGCTTGGCCCCCCAGCCACAGAGACGGTGTTTCCCAAAGCCAGGAAGTTGTAGTCATAAGTCCTGCTCGGAGTGCTGACTGAGAAGGTACAGTCGTTGTAGCACAGAGAGTGGATCTGAGGGGAAAGGGATCCATCAGGTCGGCGGCACAGGCAGGGCCTTGGGGGTGCCCAGTGGAGAGTGGCAGTCCCTCTCCCCAGCCTGGCCCGGCCCATGCTGGGTGAAAGCAGAGAAAGTATGGACGGGGGGTGGGCGTTAAAAGACGTGAACCAGAGGCTAGTGGAGTTTATGCGCATCTTGCCATTCAATAATTAGCACTGATACGAGGTACAAACCCAAACCTGTTATTTTTCAGTAGGTACTTTGGTCCGATTCTGTAGCCTTTTCCTAGGCCTAGATTATAGAACTCTCTCAAGTCACAAGAGATCCCTTCTTACTTTCAAGCAGAAGACAACAGGAGCTAACTGGAAGACAGGTGTCCAGGATGGCAGAAGAGAAGCTCCAAGCCTGGCCCGCTGCCCCCATTTAAAACTCACCGAACCCCAGGTTCCTTTTTCCCAGGCTCTCTGTGAGAAACTGAACCATAAACCCTTTCCTTGCTCCGTTTTACGGTCCCGATGCGGTAGCAGCCTTATACAACTGTCAGTCCCTCCCACAGCAGCAGGGGGAGCCCTGGGGAAAGAAGTTTGTAATGAAAGTCCAGGGCGCCTCAAATAGGTTGCCAGGGGTCTGCAGAATCGAGGCACTTACTGCACAGCTAAACGGAGCAACGTCTGCAGACTGTGTAAAAAGTGCCTTGCAGATGTGTGTCCATGTGGTTGTAATCAGTTAAAGTTTATTTAAAGGCATTAATGAATAACTAAGAGCTTTTGGCCATGGTACTTTCTTCCATTCGGAAAGTGCATGGGGGCAACAGCACTGCTGTTCCACTTCAGAAGAGACCCTTGGGAGAGGAGATGGCAATGCCAATTAACTGTATGTCCCAGCAGAGGTGGGTTACCTTCCCCAAGAAGAGGGGACAAATTCCCATAATAACAGGCTGGATTGAAGTAGGCTGAATGCGAACCACAAGTCCCACTGCTCCTTCCCCTTGAGTCTCTCCACAGATGCCAAATAACCCTCTGGACCACATGGTCACAGATCTCCCTTACCCCTCACCTCAAGATGAGACTTGTCCATGACTGAAGCTCAGACCCTGAAAACCACCCCCTCCCACTAAGAACTCTCCATCTACAGTCACAGCCTGGATGAGTGTCCACGAGGACTTCAACCTGGGAGTATGCTCAGGGGAGTCCTTGAGTATCAGCCCCTCGAGAATCCCACCCAGGACCCAGCACTCTCTGAGGTGGCCCATCCAGAGAGCCAAGGTCAACTGCTGCTACCTTGTTGCTCTTGGTGCCTGGACCGCAGGGCACGCAGGCCTGGGCGCCATAAGGCTGGTGGGCTTTCAGGATTGTGTTAGCGGGGCAGGAGCGGCAGGTTCCTGACTCCCGATCAATATAGTAACCGGCAGGACAGGAGGTGCAGGAAGAGCCCACGTCAGAGGCTTCCAAGGCACAGGGACGGCAGTAGGAGGCCACTCCATGCATGACATTGGTGACATTGATGGAGTAGATCTTGGCAACGTCTTTGGTGTACTTTCTGCCCTGGAAACAAAGAGTCAAGAGGAGAGTGGGCCAAGGCCTGAGCAGCTGCAACTGAGTGCTCTGGAAATAGCAGAGTATGACTTAATCTTTTTTATCCTATGATACTTGAGAAAAATCTTTAGAAGCTTCGTATCCTTTCTACTCACTATTAACTCTAAATGTACATTTTGTGTCATTTAAAAATGATTGAATAGTTTAAATGGCATATAAAATATTAAGTACCATGGAGCAATATGCAATAGATACCCTTTTAAAAAAATTTGGGGGGAGGGTTATTAGGTTTTTATTTATATTTAATGTAGATACTGGGGATGGATGCTAGGCATGCACTCTACCACTGAGCTATACTCTCCCCTAGATACTCTAAAACATATATATAAAGCAGTTCTTTTCCTTATAAAAGGAAAACAATATTTGTAGAGAAATGAAGTCTGCATGGGAGATATTCCACATGTTAACTGGGTCATCTCTGGGTGGTAGGATTACGGGCGATTTTATTTCTTCTTTTTGCTTATTTCTTTTTACTTATATGTTTTCTTGCAATAAACCTGCATTATTTTGAGTTAAGAAAATAAAACCAGAGTTGTTGTTATTAAAAATATGTCTGTGAGTCTGTTTCTGTTTTATATTTAAGTTCATTTGTCTTTTTTTTTTTTTTTTTGGTGAGGGGAGGTGGGTATATAGGGACAGACTGGGAGTTCGAGATTTATAGATACTGACAGGTATACATAAAATAGATAAACAAGTCTATACTGTATAGCACAGGGAAATATAGTCAAGATCTTGTAGCAGCTCATGGTGAAAAAGAACATGAAAACGAATATATGTATATTCATGTATGACAGAAAAATTGTGCTGTACACCAGAAATGGACACATTGTAAACTGACTATAACTCAATAAAAATTTTTTTTTTAAATAAAAATATGAACAGGGTAGCCATGGCGACTAATGCTACTACCACTAACCCGTTGTAGCTGCTCCCTCTAGGTAATGGTTGTTCTGTGGGGAGCTGGGCTGGGGAGCTGAAACTCTGAGTTGGGGCTGAAGGGCAGCACAGCCCTGGCTAAGTGTTAGGAAAGTGTACTGGACTGATTGCTTTCCTTCTCCGCGGCTCTCCTCGAGGCTCCAAGTTTCCGTGGCCTCAGGCAACCCACATCTCTTCTTCGGGGTGGTAGGGTTTTCTTGAGGCAGGGACTTTTGACTCCTCAAAATTCACTGTCACCGGATAAGGTTCACACTTAGTGAATGCGTTGTCAGCCTTCTTTGTTTGAACTTGCCTTTACAGTAGTGGATAGCAGTCCCGTTCCACAACCTGGCATTTAAACTCCAGATCAGGCCTTTTTGTCTATCTGGCCAGCTGAGAGGCACCAGGGTCTGGAATGAGCTTTAAAAGAGGACTCTGGAAACTAGTTCTGATTGTCATTCATTCATTCAACAGTTATTGCACAGTCTGTGCACTTGACACCGTGACTGGGCACTATTCTTAAATCACGGCTGTTGTCTTCAAATAGCATACAAACCAGTGCAGGAGATAGGATACTGGACAAATAAACATACTAAATAACATGAAATAACACCAGAAGGAAGAAGAATTACTAAATTAGATCAAATTTTGCGAAATGGAAATAATATAACAATGTTAGTTCCTGGAAAAGGACCTGAAGTATGAATGGATATCCTTGACTTTTGTTAGATTCTGTTTTGTCTTACGATGACAACAAAGTAGATTTTTTTTAACCTTTTAATGTTTGGATTCTGTGAAGCCAAGTTTCCCATTAAAGGGAAATGCTTTGAAGATGCATTGTAAATGCTCATTTTTGTAAATTAATCACGATTATTTTGGGAAAAGAACAGTTTGTTTTTTGAAGACAAAAATAAAGGTGTTTTTGGTTAAAAAGTAAAACAAAATAAACATATGAACAGGGCTGAACAGGGTATACCAGGTCAGGTATCATACATGTCCTCAGGGCAGGGTCTACTGAGGGGGGTTAGGTCATTTTAGGAGGTGACAGTGTCATCTTCCCCTGGAAGTCATTTGGACAAGGCTTGATGCTCCTCAGGAGGCTGCAATAGGAAGTTCTCTGCTTAACTCCCTAAGATTCTTCCGATCATTGGATTCTGAAGCTCATACTTAAGCTAACCTTAGGAATCCTCCCAGGTTCAGAGGTCTCTTCTGGAAGCTGGGGGTCTGAGGAAGGGGAGGAGCTTACTGTCTCATGAAACGTGGTCCTCTGGAAGGCCCAGGTGAAGCTCATGGTAGCATTCTCCTCGATGATGTAGGTATAGGACTGTTTGCCTTTAGAACCTTTCCATGTCTCCACAGGAGTGTTGGTCCTCGAATTCACACCCTGAACCCAAGAGAGGCAAGTGAAGAAGGCAAGATGGCTGGGTGGCTGGTGTGGGAGAGGGTGCCCACAGTGCTGCCATCCTGGGGGCCATCACAATTGGTCAGACCCATATTAAATGGTGAAGTCCCTGACAGTCAGGTTCATGGGGCAGAGGGGACCAACCCTCCCAAATAGTCCTTGGAAGCCCCAAAGCGGGCAAAGAAAGGAAGACATACCACCATGAAGTAGAGCTCGCAGTTCACAGAACAGATGGTCTCAAAGACAAACGTGATCCTGGCCATCTCTTTATTCTCTGTGTCTGCCATCACTGATTGTGGAGGTCTGTGGGGCACAAATCGGACGTCAGTTCCAGAGGCCAGGCGGTGCTTATTGAAGAACCCAGATGGCAGCAAAGGGTCTGCTGGGGGCAGATTAAGTTCTGAGTGTGCTGGAAAGAGCACGGACTAAGTCCAACTCTGCCACTCTAGCTGTGTGACCTAGACCTAGACAAAATGTAGTTTCCTCCTTTGTAAAAGGGATGTGATAGTATCTTTCTTATTTACCGCCTATCATTGTGGTGAGATTGAAAGGCATATGAAGATGTGGAAGTGCTTTATAAAATGCTGTATGGCCTTGCTGGCTGAGTGTGGTGTTCAGACCCACTGAATCAGAACCTGTGCATTAACATGATTCCAGGTGACTTATATGTTCATTAAAGTTTGAGAAGCACCACTATCATAATATGTCAATTGTCCACATTTGCTCAGCAGCGCACCTCCCAGGATAGTGAGGGTTTTGCCTAGGTCAAGTGAGCAGATACTTCAACTTGTAATTTCTTTAGCAAAGTTCTCAGACTGGTCCTTCTTTTATGAAAGAGAGCGCCATGCCCAGTGGGTAAGGATGGGGGCGGGGTGGGTGGGTAAGGAAGTGCTTTACTACTGTAACCAGATTTCCAAATTGAAAAGTACTTTGGCGAATGTTCCCTCTCAAAAGTCTAAAAAGTTTGCTCACCTCATGAACATGCAATAAGCTGTTCAGCTCTGAGTAATGTAAGTTAAGGGAAGGGAAACTAACACCTTTTGAGCAACTACCGTGGGCTGAGCGCTGCGCAGGGATGGAAAGGAGGGAGCTTGAAAGAGGGAAGGGAGAAGCCAGACTGGCAATAAGCAAGCCCATTCATTCGTGGTTCCCCCTCATCTTTAAAGCAGACGTAGGCAGAAGACTTCACTTGGGCTTTGGAAATCCATTTATGGCTTTTCTTTCAGCTTTGGCCATTTTCTTGAAATCTGAGGACCTCCAGTTCCCAGCTGCTGTCTACACAGCTGTGCTAACCAATGGGCTCAACCTGAGCTAGCCCAGAATCACAGACTGTCAATCCCTCTTGTTTTACAGACGAGGAGCCTAAAGCCTACAGGGGAATAGTGGCTTTCCCAAGTTCACAGAGCTAGTCAGTGGCAAAGTTCAGGTGCCCTGTGTTCTAGTCCAGTGCTCCTTCCATGGTACCACCTGCTTGTAGTTTTTGGTTTTTTGGGTTTTTTAGTGGCAGACAAGTTGCTTATTGTCCTAGGTCTTCTTGGGACATGGAGGCAAATAAGACAATGAGAACAATCCCTCCCAATCTTCTTGCACCAAATAAAGATGAACTGTCTATGTGCACATCTGGCTTTATGTTTTACAGTTTTTAAAAAAATCTTATCTCATGCTGTGAGGAGGAAGAATTTGAGTAGCATGTGGCTAAATGATAGGAGAAGCTAGGTGGGATGAGAAAGCAGTAGGCAAATCAGCCTGGGGAGCAGCTAGGAACGAGTGTTAGCCTTCAGGGTGACTGTCAGACCATTACCCTGGTCTCCTCTGCTCTGAACCGACACTTCCGCAAGCCAGAAGCCCTCTCCTCTACAACACTCCAAGCTGTGTGGGACTTGGATGTGGCTGAGGTTGGCATGTGCTTCCCCTTAGCTTTGCATTTCTCACCTAAATCCCGGCACAACCAGGGTGAGAATCATGAAGTCATTGTCTGAGGCTCCAACAGCTGTATAAATGTGGTCACCAGCCACCTCCCAGCCTGGAAAAGGAGAGGGAGGAGTTAATACTGAGCAGTCTTGGGTGCAGGGCAGACTCGCACTCAGATGACACTCTGGAAGGGTGATAACACCATCCTTTGAGATGTCCAGAACTACCATGGAACACAGACCAAGTTACTTTTCTGGTTACTTTGGTCAAAGCCTCTGAAACTCTCAGAGCAAGACCTTTGGAGTGTGTGCACGTTGTTTCTAGTCCTGTTTTTGTCTCAAAAACTACGGTTTGGTAGAATTATGTCCATGAGGAGTAGAGCATTCAGGGGAATGCATGGCCTGATTAGCTGTTTTTTTCCAGACATCACTACTATGAGGAGACACGAGGTGGGAAGAGCCCCTGTGGCAGGGCAGCGAGCTGAGAGCTCCTGGTCAGGGAGGCAATTACCTGTCATGCCCTTGTACTCAAAGTTGATCCCGCTGAGGACGGTCGTTTCCATGTTTGTGGGTAGCGTGTTCCACCATTTGTATTCGAACCCCACGGCAGGTTCAGTCCCCGCTGGGCAGTGGCTACAATCTGGGGGAGCCATAAGATCCCCGCATTCAGCAGGAAGCCTGCAGCCACCCTGCCTGGAGCTGCTATTACACAGACAAGTGGCAACAGTGGTGGGCAGCCCCACAAGGGTGGGGCTGCGCACAGCTGCACAGGTAAACTAAGCTGACTAGAGAACACTCTGACAATGTATGTCCACACTGACCCTTCATTCCAGTATTCTAGCTAGCCTGCATGCCCACCAAATGATTCATTTCAAAGCTTAAATGTATCTCCTAGGCTGATACATATAGCGCATATTATTTCTCACATCGTTATCAGCAAATGCATTCACAACAGTAGCTACACAAATCCCCCAGTTCCTCTTTGCAGAGTGGCTTACCAGTTCTATTTGTGTCAAGATGGCCATCCTAGCCCCCCAAACCTTCTAGTTAGCACCACTGCCACGTGGTGGAAGCCTCTGTTGTGAGGATGAGGTCCCTTCAGGACTGAGTCACATTCGCAGTTGGAATGAGGAGGAAGGCAGGCAGTTCTAGGTGTGGCTCAGACCTACAGACCCGGCCCTCTTGAAGTCTCCTCTCCTGAACTTAGTCCTCAGAGGTGGCCTGGCCCATACTGCTTCCCTGGGACGGACAGACTCCGTATTCAGCTGACACTGCGCCCATGCGGCCCGCCCACGTGAGTGGTGTGAGAATGGATGTGCGGCAGGGAGTGGGGCAGGAGGGGGGTTACCGGAGCCATTGGAGTAAAAGCCATAAGGGCAGGGCTCGCAGGCGCTGCTGTTGGTCTTGAAGAAGCCTGGGTTGCAGGGCGGGCAGCTGGTCTTCACGCCAGAGGCGGGCAGCTTCACCGCCCCCTCCAGATCTTCGCTGCAGATTTTCGGCTGGGCCCATTTGTACATGAGCTGCGTCTGCAGAAACAATGCACGGCTGCCTGTGTGGGAGCAGCACATCTTCAGGAATCTACCTGGAAGGTGGGGGGCCCTGGGCTCTAGTGTAAGCTCCAGCAGGGTGGGGAACTTTGTTTTGGTCACCGATGTATGGCAGGCACCTAGCCCAGTGCCAAGCACATGGCGGTGCGTCGTAAATACCTGCTGGAGAATGTTGACTGGATGAAGAGAGAGAGACCTGAAGACGACTTGTGTGTCCGAGGGAATGGGGGGACCAGTTGTCTCTAGAGAAAGCTCTGATTCCAGTGTAGACTCTTATCACTACCAGTGTCACAGGACAAGCAGCTGGTGAAGGTCCCAGAACACAAAAAGGCATGGAGTTGGCTCACGTAAGCCCTGAGGCAAGAAGGGTGGCTAAGGCGTCCCAATTTGTCTTCCAAGTGTTTGCTGTGCTTTCTCACGTATTCAGTAGACATTTATAGAAAGTCTAATACATTTCTGTGCCAGACCTGGTGACTCAGAGATGACTGACCGGACCCCTGACCTCAAGGAGCTCACCGTCTAACAAGGGCACTAATCACACAGTAACAATCCCCACGGGGGTACAGACATGGCATTCTCTAGAACATCAAGGCAAGAGGAACAATTGTCAAAGAATACAAATTTGCAGTTATAAGGCCAGGAAGTTCTGGGGATCTAAGGTACAGCACGGTGATTAGAGTTAGTCAGACTGCATCATATACTCGAGAGTTGCTAAGAGAGTAGATCTTAAACATTCTCACCACCATAAAGAAATGGTCATTATGCGACCCAGTGGAGGTGTTAGCTAACTCTGTGGTGGTCATCATTTTGCAATATGTAAGTGTGTTGAATCAACACATTGTATACCTTAAACTTATGTAATGTTATGTGTCAATTATATCTCAAAAAACTGAGGGGGATAATAGGCAAGGGGACTGGTCAACCAGGTCAGCAGGCAAGAGAAGCATTGTGTCTGTCAGTTACTAGGGCCATCCCTAGGCTTTTGCTGGAGGCACTGGATAGAGCAGAGGAGATGGACTGCAGGAGGCCCCAGCGAGTCAGGGGTGAGGTTGGACAGCTTCCTGTGTGGTCCTCGGGCAAGTCAGAGACATAAGGATTGCCCTGGAGTGGTGCCAGAAATGCTCTGTGCAGCATACTGTACGTGTGAAAAGGTGGGTGAATTAGGTATCTGTCCACTTTATTCAGGATAAGAAATGACAAGGTCTTAAAAGGAGCGCATGCTGCCTTCATTGAAGGTGAGCCCTGAACACACAACTCCTCCCCTGCTCAGCCCAGCCTTCCTCTGAGCAGAACAGAGGCAAACTCAGCCAATGGCTGGAGCCCCAAACTAGTGCTCTAACCTCATCTCCCCCGACTTGTCCCCTCGGATCTCATAGAGAGAAGGTCTGGGAGCAGGCAGATTGGCCTGGGCTGATTCTTGGAGCAGCACACTCAGCAGCCCCAAAGGGTAGGCCATTCCCGCCCTGAGAATGAAGCACAGCACAGGCCTCAGAGGGGATCGCAGGAGTCATTCAAGGTGTGTCCCTTGATTTTAAAATACAGCTTAGAAGGCAAAGTGAAATCATGAGACAGAGCAGAACCAGTGTGGATCTGAGGCACGAAACTTCTGTAAGGGGCTCCTCACCACATCCCACATCTACTGCAGGGGCTCCTCCCTGAGCTGTGCTTTGCCTGGGCTGCAGTGAGGGTACAATGGCTCTGGCCCCACCCAGCATTTAAAGGTCCCCCGAGGTGGTCAGGGGAGGGAGACACCCAGGCTTATAGGCATCAGAGCACATAACAGATCTAGAAGGCTTGGCCTAAGCCAGGAGGGGAAAGAATAGGGCCGAAGGAAGCAAAGACAGCCACAGTCGGCCACATGTTATGTCCTGGAGGGAGAAGAGGAGCAGGATGGTCCTCATTTAATTAGCGAGTCGACTGAAGCCAAAAAAATGACAATAATTTTTACAAGGTCATACAGAACACCAGACAGTACAGAAGTGGGTCTGTGGGGAACTGATGAGATCTGTCATCTTGCTTGGCTGCTAGGGAAGGTGAGGGAGTAAGAGATGACTATGAAAACAATCATCATTAAGGACTAGAGTTTATTCCATGCTTAATTAGCAAAGGGAGAATTCAGCCAGCCGTCCAGCCAGCAAACATTTATACATCCTAAGCCAAGCACATGCTTAGGGCTAAATGATGCAGAATTCCTGACTCCTATTTTCCTAAGGGGCTCTGCATTAGGGATACAGACAGTTCCTCCAGAATATCTAATCTCAGACAGATCCTTCCACTTGTGCCCTGGAGCCATCCCTGCTCACTGACTGCTGTTCCTCGATGTCACAGGCACACACCCATCTCCGCTACTCCGGCTGTGCCCACTGGACAGTGGTGTGGCTCTGGCTCCCCCTGACCTCACTCAGGCCTCTGCTCAAAGGCCACCTTCTCAGAAAGGTCATCCCTACCCTCTCTAAGAGAGCTCTGTCATGCGCTATCTCCTGATCCTGTTTTACGTTTTTCTTCTTACCACTTATTACCATCCAACTTATTATATACCCATTTGTTGTTTATCTGTTGTCTCTGCCTTCACTCGCTCCCTAACAAGAATTAAGCTCCATGGGAGTAGATGTTCCCTTGGTTCCGTGAACTGCTGCAAACCTAGTGCCCAGCACAGTCGCTGGATGTAGACGGCCCTGAAAGGCCGTCCCTGGCCCTCATTCCCTTTCTGTGTTCCCCCAGTGCCCTGCACACCCTTCTCGTCCCCTCCGCACTGGACCGCGAGCCCTCTGAGGGCAGGAGCCGGTCTTACTCATCTCTGACCAGCCCCCCAACTGGAGCACGATGCCGGCACAGAAGCTGGTACCCAAAAATGCCTGCTGACTGGACGGCAGAGCAGACTGCAAAGGGAAGTCTTTCTGAGGCAGAAAGCCTGCGGGGGAAGAGGGAGCCGGCAGCGACTGAACAGGTCAGGCCATTCTCCAGTAAGCCAGGAAGCAGGAGTCATCCCCTCGGCCAACCCGCCAGACCAGGGCTGAGGGGACAAGTCTGACAGATTCCATGAGGAAATAAGAATGCATGGACAGGCAGTCACTGCCCAGGGGGTGAAGTAAATTGAAGAAACCAAGCAAAAGAAAAAGAAAGCTTTTTTTTTGAAACAGAGCGTATGTGAATAAGCAGAAGAACAAATGTGGCAAAAACAGTTTCTGACCTGAAATGAATGACCTCATTTTGCCTCCCCACTGGCCCCAGGGGCACTGAGGAGGCCTGTGGGGTTTTCTCGGGTGCCAGCTTCAGGGACCTCTGGAGCTTTTAATCTGGCAAAGCCAAAGGAGTGGGCAAAGAAGCCCCAAGAGCATGCTACCCACCTTTCCTGTGGCATCACAGGCCGTGTGGGTGAAGAAGTAATCTCTGTCTGTGCAGGCTGGCCGCACTTGGCAGGTGGAGGATCCTTTTTCTAAATGGCAGAAGCAAGGACAAATGTTTTAAAGTCACATAAAGAAGCAGAGCTCTTGATCACTTGCTCACGACGCTGTGATGCCCAAGACCCTGGAGGGTAGCGCAGCACAGATATGGTGGAAAGTAGCAAGTTCTGCACACCCACCTTCCCTTTGCCTGAATGGCATCATTTCCAGTCCCTAAAGCCCTGCTCAGGCACCCTCTCCCTGGTGCTGATGAGAAACCACTGGATCCACCCCGTGGAGCAGGGCGAGGAAAGGTGGACGGGCCAAGACCAGCCAGGAAGGAGGTAGCCAAAAGGACCATCTTGCAGGTTAACCACCACCAGCCCAATTCCCTGAAATGTCCCATCTTCCAGGTGCCTCAGAATCCTGACTGTGCTGGTGGTATTTCTACTCCTGAAGGGTTGAAGCAAAACATAAGAAAGCATAGGACAGTGCCTTCATCCTCTTATTCCAATTCTTTCTCTGAATTTTCTCTTACTATATGCCTAGAAGGCCTTCCGCCTTTCGATTTCCCCTTCTCCGTGAGCCATCCTACACGGATAAGGTGATGGTTTCCTCCAAGTCTTTTTACCTTCTCCACCCCCAGGCATCATAGCACCATCTCTAACCCTTGACTGTACTTAATGAAAAAAGTTATTAACTATTGTTTTATTTATTTTACTCTCTGTATGTTCTTATATCTAGGTTAGTTCTGCTTTAACCCTATAAGCCCCTGGATGGCAAGAACTATGTCAATGAATCGCTCTTTAAAGCAATGGATTTCACTTTTATTGAATTACAAACCCTTTTGGGAATTTGAAAAAAAAAAAGACCTCTTTCTTGTATCCTGAAAAATATACACAATTCATGCAAATAACTTTTTTTTAATTTTCAGGGAATTAATTTTCTCCAGAATAAAAACCTTTGCTTTACAGAGTGCCAGTACAATACTGCCACCAGTACTATTGTCACCACTATGTCTCATATGACTATTGTGTCACCTGCAGGTAAGCAGGTGGTAATGGTGAGACTGCCTCTCTTTGTACATTACCTGACAGGCTGTTTGGTAGAGTGGAATGAGATTTTAAGTCAGACAGATCTGGGTTTGGATCCCACTTAATCATTTAGTAGCTGTGTCACTTTAGGCAAGTTACTTAACCTCTCTGAGCCTTGGTGCCCTGATTTGTAGAGCAGGAATAATAACATCTACCCTGCAGGAACGAGCACACACCTGCTACATTGTTAAGTAGGAACTTGCTAAATGCTGGTAACTATTATCACTTGGGTCTGTGGGAATTATTTTTATTTGGTAACTGTCACGGGATTTTTAATAAGGATTACAAGTCTCCTGTCTCTTCCAGTTAAGGCTTATTTCTCAGCTGATCCCTTCTTCTTCCCAAGGCATCAAATGAGTCGCTAGATCAGAGACTCTCCTAATTACCTGCCTTGTTGGCCTGCACTGGGGAGCTTCCCCAGTCACATATTTCCATACATCTTCTGTCCCCATCTTATTAGCCTGGGAAAGAGGGAGCTGCTGGCTGAGAAACAGCTGGGGTCTTTTCAGCTCATTTACTTGGTTAACAAACAAAGGCCTGTTTCAACATAGAGCGATCCAGGGACTCCTGGTTTTGACAGACTTGGCCAGGAGAAATTTGGGGGGAGATGCTGAAAATATGCCAATCCCCAGGACCTCGCATGTTCGATCTAGCACATTGCAAGTTACGTGTTAGAAGCTGTGTTCCGTTCCACACAAGGACCTTTCTCTGCTTGTCAAATATTTGCTCAGCCTGACCCCCCCGCTCCAGGTTTCGGCAAAAATCACCCAGCTGTTTACACACTGACAACTGCTAAGCTGGTTTTAATAAATGATTAATCCAAATGCTGAGACAGACCTCACTTTCCTAGCTCAGGTTTCCTCAAGGTGTTGAAGTTGGAGACTAGTCCATTTTGAGTGATCCACCTAGACATCTTGTGAGAAAGTGAAAAGTGATTCCTGTAGGATTGGCCCTGGGCAAAATTGTAAGAAGATAAAGTTTATTTTGTGGGCTCCAACTCCTCTTTCTGCGCCTTCCTCCTCCTTTCAGTAGCTTCTCTCTGCCTCCGGAAGTACAGCATTCTTGTTCTGATCCTTTTTATTGAAGGAAAACATTTCCTCTGAGGATTTCAGCACCTAATGAACACGAGGCCCAGCTCATACACCACCTCAGGCTCTGGGCAAACCCCTTAACCTCTCTGAGTTTCTCTTTCATTTATAAATGGGGAAATCATTCCTGAACTAGGCTATGAGTTAACAAATGAGATAATGTTTTGTAAATTATAAAGTACTATACAAGTTACTTATTATTTTTGTTACCTATGCCCAGAGTGTTTGCACATTAGAAGAAGACTGCTGGGACAGGCTTTAATGTAAATGAATTTATAAAATTAGTGCTTACTACATGCCAGGCATGTCTAAATCCTTTACCTGCTTTAATCAATCCACACATTGACACTATGAGGGAGTAGGATTATTGTCATTCCCATTCTGCAGATGAGGAAACTGAGGCACAGACGAATAACTTGCCCAAGGTGGCATAGCTAGGAAGAGGTGGAGCAGGGGTTTGAACCTTATTGATTTTGCTCTTAAACCCTGTGCTATTCTATTAGGAAATGAGTCCCTAATATTAAACATAACACAAAGGAATTAACCCGAATGATCAAATTTAAGCTATCAATGAGAAAGATGCTCTCAGTCAAGACTTTGTCCTTGACATCTCCACTCCGATCAGCTCCTTGGTCTAGGTCCTGGATACTAGCAATGGCCCCTGCTGCAAAATCTTCCGACTGTGGCCCCTGCCTCCAGCTCTTCCCTTCCTCATCCATTTTCCAAACAGCAACCAGAGTGGTCTTTCAAAAGCACAAGCCAGATCATGTCCTTCCCCAGTTTTAAATTCTTTAATGGCTTCCACTACTGATAGGGTCAAATCCCAACTCTGTAGCAATGACACAGAAGGGTTCATCCATAATCTGTTCCCTACCCACCTATTAGCCTCAGAGACTAATTCTCTCCAAGTAAGCTCCAGCCACACTACGTTACTCCTGGACCCCCGAGACTTCTGGCCTTGGCTCACATTTCTTCTGGAACATCCTGCCCCCATCAAATCCTCAACTCATTTTTCAAGACTCAGCTCATCTTTCAAGACCACAGCTGGTGAAGCCTTTCCTCCCCCCACAGAAAGGACTGACCACTTCTCTTTTTTGCTTCCACCACACACTACCCTCAGGACTCCCATCCCAGCACCTCCTGCACTATGGAGTTCTTACACTTGGTGTTTCTATAACTGTTTCCACTTCTGACACAAGCTGGAGGGCAGACACCAGCTGCAACGCTAGCATCAGGCCCAAGCCCTGGCACCTAGTGGGCACTCGGAATAAATCTGCAAGTGAATAACTAAATGGTCACAGGGTGGTGACCATCTATGTACCTTCCATCATAGGCTCACATGAGACTCTCTCTGCACTTTTCCAGGCTCCAACTGACCCTGTCTCCTGGAAGAGTCAAGTCCCAAAGAAATCTGCCTCTCTTTGTATCCCACGCTGACCATAATCTTCATTGTGAAAACTCACTTTCCAGTCAAAGGGGGATGGATTAGGAAACTTATGGCAAAAGAATAGATTTCAAGAACTCAGACTCCCAATCTAACACTTTCACATTAGCTCTCTGGATGAAAATCAGTTTACATAGATCAAAACACTTGTAGGCAGTTTTTCTAGAACCATCTTGCCATTTAAACCCTGTCCCACGGTGAAGCTGGAAAGGAAGCTGGAGAAAAACACTAACAAAGACTGTCATTGACAGAGCAGGGAAGAGAAATAAGAAATTCAAGTGGAAAAACAGGAATTTAGACATTTAGACTTACAGATAAAAACCTGCCCCAAGATCTAAACATTTCTATTCTTGTTGAAAACTACACTCGTTTGGCAAGATCTGTGTAGATAAATAAGACTTTTGTTTTAGGAACAGTGTAGAAATAAGCAGTTCACAAGGTCAATGGCTGGTCTTGGCTGAGCAAACATGGACTGTAACACCTGTGTGAAGGCGGGTGTGTCTGTGTAGGGATGGGGGCGTCTGCTTGAGAGAGGGCCTTGAGCTGGGTTTGTACTTAGCTCTGTGCAAAAAGAGCAAAATGGAATACTCATGGGCATTTGCAGGGGATGAGAGGAGACGCTTTCTCTCTCTCTACTTGTTTGTTTCAGAACCTGTCTTGAAGATCGGTCCCTGTGCCAACCACTGGACTGCCTGAGCAGAGGCCCTCTGGGGCCACTGTCCATCTTACATCAGAGCCCTGCTGCCCCCAAGAGCCTCTCAAGTGACCAGATCCCGTTTCTCAAGTTGGGATGTTTCAGGATGCTATCCAGGGACGGCAGAGATAGGCTGTTTCCAGCTGTCCTCTTATTTTCCCTTAAAGCAGTTGTTTTCAAGCTGTGTTCCAAGGAACTCTGGATGTCCTGAAAAGGCTTGCTTTGAATTCAATGGATATAAATATACCTTCTGTCTTTAGCGCCTGCTATCAAAATGTTCTGCTCATCAATACAACCCCATGGCTTTTCTAAACTAACTTTGATAATAGTTGTTATAAATTAAACTATATACATTTACACCTCTTTTATCTACTATATACATTATAATTATAATCTTAAGTTTTCATTAAAATACAAAAAACGTCCTTGCCCCTCCCTGCTCCCCCCAAAAAACCATTGCAACCCTCTTCCCAAGCTTTCCTAATCCGTCTAACCCTGACTGCGTTTTCTTTTTGCCCTGGTGCCCTGCAGTTTTTGCTGTCTAATATACTATATAATTTATTATGTAGTTATTATAGTTATTATTTATTATCTGTCTTTCCCTCACCAGAACCTAAGTTCCATGAAGACAGGGACCCTCGTCTATTCTGCTCGTTGATGTGTTCTAGACATCTAAAACAGGGTCTGGCAGATAGTAGAGGCTCAATAAATACTTATTGAATGATTTCATTTCAAGGATGATTAGTTGGCAGGGCTCTTCCAGCGCCCAGAAAGCAAGGGCTTAAGAATTATCATCTTCAAATCTGAAAATATATGTATATATGTATGTATATGTATAACTGAATTGCTTTGCTGTACACCTGAAACTAACATTGTAAATCAGCTACACCTCAATTAAAAAAAATTTTTTTTAAAGAATTATTGTCTTCAGCTTGGCCAAAATGATGGCTCTGCTTCCTGTTTCTCCCTCTGTGTATGTTGGTACCTCCCCCACCAAACTCTTCCCACCCTCAGAAACATCACCTGAATATTTGTCAGGGTCACACTGGTGGCAGGTAGTTTCTCCCTTACTGGAATAAGAGTTAGCTGGGCAAAGTTTGCAGAAAGAGGAGCCCTGCTTGTCTGCGTACGTGCCGGGTTTGCAGGGGAAGCATTCTGAAGTGTAGGCCACTCCTAGGGAGGAAGAAAAACATAGAAAAGCAAGGAGCCTGGAGCACTAAGCCTGGAGACTGAGCCTCCTGGGGACTAACCCCACCCTCCCTGCAGAGAGTCACGAGGCCCGGAAGTCAGCAGCAGACCCCAGACCCAGTCCCACTCTCTGCTCTCCGTACCTGTTATGGCGATGTTTCTCACCAGCACAGGCTTGGAAACTTTGGACCACACTGAGAAGGCTGTGGTTCTCCAATAGAGGACATTATTGCCTCGATTTAGCTCGACCTGAAAACCACAAACAGGAAGAGTTCGTTCAGTCACAGAGACAGATGTTGCTAACCCATTGCATTAGCCTCTCGTTGGAAAGCCTCCTCTTGCAGTCTGCAGGGCAGGGCCCATTCTGCTGCTCTCCCTCAGCTTCCCTAGCTCTGCCCGTCCTCCCATCTTGGTGTAGCCCCTCTCTCCTTCTACACCTCCTCTTAAAACCTGCCCATGCCCTCTCCCACTTCGCCCTCAGTCACCTTATACCATGAGCATCTCTATGGTGAGACTGATGAAGGGACCTGAAGGTACTGACAACAGGATGACTGAAACTCCCTCATTCTCTGTGCTATTTATCCATGACCCATCCCCCGAAGACTTGGCCCTTAAAGCTGGAAAGCTGCTCATCCTTGAGGTCAAGCCATAGAAGCAAGTCAGTCCACACCCAGGTTCTGTCAGCTCCATAGGAGAGAAACCAGAGCACCCTCATCATGTCAGACCTCTGCTTTCTAGGGAGAGGAGAGTGGAGGCCCAGACTGGGAGGAAGCACTCTTTGAAGGAAAGGTACCTGGTCCCTTTTCTGGAGCAGGCTGGTATGATACTCACACTGTGGAATTCCCATCCTTTCTCTGTGGTTTTCATCCACCTGGAGTCATCTGCATTGGGCTGGCACTGGTCATTTTGAACCTGAGGCAGCAGGAATTTGAGATCAGAGTCTTAGCTTTCTAAGGAAATGAGTTCCTTACCCTATGATGCACCAGCCCCTCCACATGGTCCTTCTTATGGGGGAAGAGTTGCCTATTTCCTCTAGGGACTGAGCTCAGAACTCATGAGCCTTGAAGTAGGTCAGGAGCTAGTTACACACACAAACTGTCAGTGCATTGACCCCAAAGAAATAATGTGTAACTCAGAGCTGCTACATGCTGTTTTCATGTCTGAACAGGGTGAAACACCAAGAATCTCTCAGATTCTACTCTTTCCCCCAGGGTCCTGTGACTTTCTGTCTTTATCTGTGCCTCTTGAAGCCTCAGCTCATTTTGCCCACAGTTCTCTCCAGAGGAAAAACAACGGTGGAAACTTCCCAAGCAGGACTGTGCGTGTGATTGCTGTAAAGGAATCTGAACCTTGGAGAGCCTTTGCCTCCCACCCTCCCCCTTGGCCAGGGGCTCACAAAAAACTCGAAGATGATGCTGGAGTCTGGGTAGTAGTACTCAAAGTTAACAGTGCCAGACTGCTTCAGGTTGACGGCGTACATCAGCGTGGCTGTACATTCGTCCGTGTTGGAGGAGATGTAGTCGCCCAGAGGAACCCACTTGGACCTGTAAGGGAACAGAAAACAAGTTCACAGTCACAAGCTAAGCCCACCAGGATTTGGCCGATATGCAAGTGTCATGTCCTGCCAGGTCTCTGAGGAATTCTGGATCTGTGATTCAAAAGCGAAAGCTTAGACCTGAAAATGCTCAGTAAAGAATGACCTCCAGATCAAGGCGCCTGGAGGTACAGCCAAGAGGAAGATAGGTTGGTGTTCCCCCACATTACATGGAACTACCCAGAGGAGAGACAGGTGAGGCTGGGGCAGGGGAGATAGATAACATTTATTGGTTGCTTACTTTCTCCCAGGTATTGAACTACATGTTTTACATTCCTGATTTTATCAGTAGGAGGAAGTGCAATTTTTCCCCCATTTAATGGATGATAAAACTGAGGCTTGGTGAGTACCTTGCTCAGTATCATGCAGCCAGCAAGTGAAAGGGCTGAGATTTAAACCCAGGTTCGCATAACTTAAAGCTGTCAAAGAATGTTTACATACAACTATTCTTCAGAACTCAGAAATCCATCTGGTCTAATTCCCACCCCACCCCCTTTTTTTTTTGGAACTGTCCACTTTTACACACCACAAGGAACTGGTTTTATGGGAAGAGGGACGGCGTATCGGTTTCATTTTCTGAATATCTCTCTACTCTGCCTACCCTGCCCAAGGGCTCTACCTGCTCCTCCCCCAACCCCCCTCAGCTCAGAACTGGCCCCAACTCACCTCCCTATATCCAGTCCTGCCTCCTCCCATTCCTTCTCCACAGTGTGGCTGGAGAGATCCTCCAGGACAAAAATCTGACCATGTCACTTCCCTGCTTGAAACCCTGTGACTTCCTGTTGCCCTTAGGATTGGATACAAACCCCTCACCCACTCTCTGTACTCCAGAGAAGTACGAATTTCTTTCAATTCCTCTGCCAAACTTTCTCTCATCTCTGAGTCTTCCCACACACTGTTCCCTCCTCCTGGAACAAACTTCCTCCTCCTTCCTTCTGGTTAATTCCTATTTGTGTCTCAGAATAAATGTCACCTAACCTGAGAAGTCCTCCTTGACCCCTTAACCTGTCTCTGCTCTCACAGTTTCCCTTCTCATAACCACAGTCCTACTGCATTTCACTTAAACATGTTATGAAATATTTAAGACCCACTGCCCTGCTTAAGAAATGCAATACAGCAGAAGCCTTGGTGTATGCTTGGCTCACCTCAACCCCCTTTGCATCACACATTTCTTTCCCCATTGCCAAGGACCCACTCTCCTGAATTTGGTACTTAGGATGCCGATGTGGCTCTCGGCCCTTTACTAATTACGCATGTGTCTCTGAACAGCATAGTGCATGATAGTGCTTCCCGTGTTATGCCAATGATATCATACTCGTGTATTCTGAAACTTGCTTTTCTTTCTTCAACAAGTATGATTGTGGGATTCATCCATCTTCTTACATGAATAAAACGTCTTCTTTCATTTTTACTAGTACATAATACTGCTTTATATGGTTCACCAAGATTTATTTATGCATTACTTGTTGATGGACATTTAGATTGTTTCCAATTTTTTTGTCATTGTGCACACTCTGTTAGGAACGTTCTTGTGCCTGTCTCCTTATACGCACGTCTGAGCTGAAAGCCGGGGAGTGGAACTGCTGGGTCAGAGGGTATGTGAACCTCCAAGTTCACCAGCCACTGCCACGTTGTGCTCCAAAGTGGTTGTTATCAACTATGCCAACCGGTCATGCAAGACAGCTTCTGTTGTTCCCCATCCTCCCCACATTTGAAATGGTCAGATGTTTAAATTGTTGCCAATATGATATGGTGGGAGATAGTGTCTCATTGGGCTTTAAATCTTATTTCCTTGATTATTAGTGAGGTTGAGCATCTTTTCTTAGTTTATTTGCAGTTTGGTTTCCTCTTCTGATCATATTTTAATTGCCTGTCTTCCTGGCTGCCTTGTAGATGCTGTGAGGGCAGAGACCAAACTTAACTTGCTCACTACTGTCTCCCCAGCACCAAGCCCTGGGCCTGGTGCATAGGAAGGCATCAGGGCACTGAACAGATGCATGTAGGAAATGGGTGATCAAAGACAGTCCCACTCTTCCACTGTTCTGCCTGAGACCAGCCCAGGTCTCCACTTATTACTAACAGTCAGCTAAGGGGATCTCAAGTTAGTCCACTGGTTTCCCCCTGTGTTTGTCAGAATAACATGATACTTCCAGCTCTTCAATAGTTAGTATTCTTCTCAAACGGAAGTATATCCAAAATACCTAGGCTGAGCTCATCCAGGATACCCAGCTAACCTAATGGTATCGATTTCTTCTCAGTAGAACAGATAGCACTTAATGCTGACGCCCTCCATGGTATCTGCTATAAATAACTCCTGAAGGCGGATGAATAATTAAGAGGATGCCATAAGTGGGTTACATTTGCAAAATGCATCACAATTCTGATTTTCATCAGAGCTGTCCCTGGTGAAGATCATTTCACGTTCAATAATAACATGTCTTGATTGATTTCCAGTGCCAGGCATCACTCCAAATCTTTCCAAGTATCATCTCATTTCATCCTTACCACAGCCTATAAGAAGAGTACCATGTTTATCAGCAGTTTTTAGGATGGTGGCTGGAGCATAGTAAGCAAGGAGGAGAGGTACTTGAGAGAGGCTGGAAGAATGGGCAGAGGGCAGAGGCCAGGTCGGGCAGAGCCCTGCAGGCCGTAAGGTATTGGATTTTATCCCAAGAGCAATAGGAATCCACAGAATCCAGGGTTTTGAGCAGGAAAGTACCGTGACTGGGTTTGTGTTTAAGATCAGTCTGGCTGCTGAGTGGACAGCGGCCTGGAGGAGGCTGGGGGTAGAAGCGGAGACCAGCTGGGAGGTGCTAGAGGCAGAACAGGCAGGAGTGATGCTGGCTGGAGCTGGGCTGGAGGCAGTGGGCGTGGGCTCAGGCAAACACACAGGAGAGCAGGAAAGCCAGACTCGATACCAGCTCAGTTACTGCCTTTCGTGGGGTCAGTGGGGAAATCACAAAACCTTCAGGGTGGCCATTTCTGCTCCACCTCTGCAGAGGAGAAACATCCTTTCCCCTGCCCAGGGGGATGCCTTCATCCCAGGGATGTCCTGGGAGGCCTTCAGACCCAGGCCCTGAAGCAGTCTGTGCTGTGGAAACACAAGCTGTTACAAACAGGCCCGCATCCTGCCTTGCTGAGAGATAATGATTTCTGGACTGTCACTGCCGTCCCCAGAGAGAGAGGGAGAAATCTTTCCTTCACGCAGGTGGGAACTGACTGAGTGAGCCAGGCCTGCACCTTGTCCAGGGTCAGCCATATTATCTATCAGGACTAAAAGGGGCACTGGTTGCCTTAAACACACGGTCTGTCTCCTTCCAGCTTGAATCTTCTCTGGCTTTATCTCTGCTGCCAGTGTTGACATGCTAATGATTTTGGTTCATAATATTGAACTCTGAAATAAATTAAAGGTGGACTATTAAAGGCCTGCAGCCTGGTTCAGACAATGGTGCCTCTAGGAGATTTAAGCATAGGAATGGGAGGCATTGCTCCCACCTTTAGAAATCCAGGTGTAATACAATTATTAGCTCCTTTTTATCCTTCTGGCTGCTTGGGTATAAAAGAAACTTTCATGTACTCTTCTCCTGTATTCACCTTCTTCTTTCTCTTTTTTTAAAATGCCTATGAATATGTTTAAGGCATTTTTTATTTTTAACACCTTTATTATGGTATGATTGCTGTACAGTAAACTACACATATTTCAGATGTACAATTTGATGAATTCTGATAGATGTGTACACCCATGAAGCTACCACCACAATCAAGATCCCTAACAATTCCATCACCCCCCAGGATTTCTCCTGCAGTCTTTGTCAATATTTAACAAAGAGCAGTGAAAAATTGTCTTTTACGTCTAGGTATTCCCCCTACTTTTCCTCTCTAGACCCAATATTGCCTTGCATGCACTAAATGTTATTTAAAGGTGGCAGCATGGGGCAGTGGAAAGCTTGGGACTGGGTGTGAATTCCAGTCTCCTCAGTTGTAAGCTGTGTAGCAAAGGACAAGTCACTTAACCTCTCTGAGCCTCCAGGTCTTCATGTGTGTGATGGGAACAATAATACCTATTTCACCTTCACAAGGGTTCGTGTGAGGACTATAGAAAGTACCACATGGAAAGCACCCAGAAGAGCGCCTGAACTATAGAAGGTACATTATTTACTTCCTATCCCTGGAATCAAACATCTAAAGATTTGCTAAGGATAACTCCCAGTTCGCTAAGCACCCTGGGCTGAGCTTTTCAGTGACGGAAAAGATCTTCTGAGAAAGAGAATTTTCTGGTCACCGGGGCCTCAAAGGGTTTGGAAGATCTCAGCCACCACTGACCAAAGCTCTAGTCCTACGTTATTCCCCCAAACCCATAAACTCAGGTTTAGCAGACCAATTTTAGAACCCAGCACCAAAAGCCAGGAAGATACCCAATGCTTTGCACATTGTGTTGCAGTGAAGTTGAGGAAGTTTATTGGCTGATCTAAAATTCCATGGTAGAAAGCCAACTGGATTTTGTTTTAAATAGACTGGGCCATTTAACCCTTGTTCCTCTAATCCACCTCTCTATTTCTCCGTGTTTTTCACCTGTCACAAATGCCTGTCAGTCACTGGTAAGCTTAGGTCTGCAAGGTTGGGCTGAGGTGGACGTGGCGTTGGAAAGTCCAGTGATGCCCTGCTCCACCCCTCACCCCCGCAGCTTGTCTCCCTCAACTCCATCCTTCCTGCACAGCCAGAAGAGCAGGAGAGGAGGCTGTGGAGTGCCCCCTGCAGCCCCTTACTGAGCATGGGGAACAGGGAAGTAAGGGAGGGCGTGGTGAGTGGAGAAGGGCAACTCACGAAGTGCAGTTCTCCTTGGATTCAGTGATGCTGTCCTCAATCTCCATGTTGGTTGAGAGGCTGGCAAAGCCATGGGGCAGCTCGTCCCACTCGTCGAACCGGATGCCCGTGCCAAGGGAGTAGCGGCCCTCAGCGCATGGCTTACATGACTGGTCCTTCATGTCCAGAAACTCCCCGGCTTTGCAAGAGAAGGCTGGAACACAGAGCAGGGACAAGGGTGTGGTGGTGAGGTCAACTGCCGCCCAAGAGGATGGGTTGGTTGTGGGCATCCTAAAGGGAGGAGCAGAGAATGGAGTTCTAGGAGTCTGACCCACTAAGATTTAGAGCCATGGTGCATCTTGTATGATTCCATTTATATGGGATGCCCAGAACAGGCAAACCCATAGGGACAGAAAGTAGACTTGTAGTGATGGGGTGTTGGGGGAGGGAGTAGGGGGGAGAGATCACTAATGGGCATGATGTTTCTTTGCAGGAGTGATGAAAATGTTCTGAGACTAGATAGTGGTGATGATTATGCAACTCTGTGAATATTCTAAAAACCACTGAATTTTATACCGTAAAGCGGTGAATCTTATGTAAATTATATCGCAATAAAGCTGTTATTTAAAAAAAAAGATTTACGGCTTTGTTTCAGGACGTTCGGCTTGCCCTGGTCAGTCTCATTTCCTAAACCAGTAGCGTCGGCCATTCTGAGGGCTCTCCAATGAAGAGGGTACCATGATCTCATGCTGATCCCTCTGAATGGGGCCTGGCCCTTCAGCCTTGAATCTCCCCCTGGAATCTCTGGCTTCTGTGTCCTCCTTTTTGGTCCCACTGCCATCATGCTAGTTGGGATTCTTGTGACCTGTTACCTCAACCACTGCAACGTCCTCCTAACTAGTTCCCTATTTCTTGTCTTGGCTCATTCTGTGGTCAGAAGTATCTTTCCAAAACACTGATATGTATTTAAAAAATAATCAGGAACACCCCCACCTGTGCCTTTTGGTTACAGAATTAAGCTCTCAGCCTGGCATTCAAAGTCTTCCACAATTTTCCCCCAACCCAACTTTCCAGCTAAATCTCTGGCTACAGATCTTTCTCCACCCCACTCCCATCTGTCCCCTTCCTTGTGTTGCTTCCACCCCAGGCCACATGCTCTTCCCTGAATGTGTCTGGTGTTCGGCCTCCAAACTTCTGCTCTGTGGTTTTCCTAGCTGTTTCTGATCCTTAAGCATCCATAACTCCCATTCTTTTTCACCTCGTATTAACACATCATATTTATGTGTGCCTCCCAGTAGGCTCTGAGCTCCTCCAGGACGGTGGCTCAGCAACTGGCACGGACATAGCAGGGGATCCAGGAAGTTTGGCTAAAGAAATGAATGGATGAACCGACGTTTGCTCGTCCCACCAGAATGTACACTTCTGAAGGCAGAGATTGTGTCTTATTTATCTTTGTGGTTCACGTAGCAGGTGCACATAGTGCTCAATAATGTTGGCCACGTTTACTGAAGATGGCTCATTTGTTTCCATTAGTCACACCTCAGTTCTACTCAGATCGTGGCAGTATCCATTCATTGATTTGCATTTGTCCGCTCACCTACTGAACCAGGCACTATGCTAAGCTCATTGTAGACTTTAAATGCTCTCAGTCTCCTTTCCAAATCTTCAGGCATTCCTTGATTCTAGTCCGTCTTTTACTGCCATCCCCTTTGCACTTCTCAAAAGAACAGCACAGGGTAAATAGCAGGCAATGGGAGAAAAGCTGTGGCTAGAGTCCCGGGGGGCGGGGGGCGGAGCTGAGGCAAGTCACTGCCCTTCTGGTGGCATGGTCAGCTCTGTGGCCAGGGAAGATTCTTGGCCCCTGAAGGGACGCCTAGTGCATTTCAAAGGTCTGTCTCTGTGAGAACTCATCTTCCTTAGTTTCTTTTTCAAGAATGACTGCAAATCACAATCTTTCCTAATGAGTGCTTGTGGCCGGTGAGTGTAGATTGGAGAGAAAGCCACAGGCAAAAAAGAAAATGTTTGCAAACAGAAAAAATATCTAAGTGGTGCACAGCTGGAATTTTTACTTGCTCTCCTGATGAGATTTAAATTTTAAAATAAAATAAAAGTAAATTGAGATACCCGGTTTGCCTCCACGAAATAACATTTCTGCCCCAAATCTCAACAGGGTTGGGGATGGGAACTAACTGGGGGAAAGATCTGATTCCTTAGTCGCAGGGAAAGGAAGCACCTAACTTGGATGGCAGGAGGCTTGGGGCAGAGGCCAAAGCTGCGAGGCAGGGCTGCTTACAGCACTCGGTGCCCTTGACGGGGTCGGGGAGGCTGGTGCACAGGCCCGGGGTGTGCGGCACGGCGACCCTCCACCTGGAACCCATGCTGTCACATGCGGTGTACTCATAGTGGTACTCAGACTGCAGGGGAGAGAAGAGTGGGCAAAATGCACATTAGCAATGGCCAGACATTAACAGCTTCCCACCCACTTCCTGCTCAGCACAATGGCTACTGACACCCATCACCACAGTAACAGGCCCTGGGGCCCCGGCAGGTAGTAAGGCACTATGGAGCCCAAATGACTATTATCAAGCACACGCAGGAGCTACGATTATTTGGATCATTCCTCTTCACTGGCCATCGTCTAGTTCCTAGAAATTCCTTTTTTTTTTTCATGACTGTCTTTGCTGTTGTGTATAAATAATGTTCTCATAGGCCAGAGGGATGCGGGAAGGTAACTAAAGATCAGGCTAGAAACAGGTGGAATTTTTCTTGTCCCAAATTGCAAAATTTATGAGCAAGGACTGGTCTACGGAATATTTACAAAGGATTGTTACAGAAGCTGTATTTCTAGTTCCCTGATTTCCTTATGTTTTTCATGCTCCCTTCTACCCAGAAAAACCATGAATTTCCACCTCAAGTTTTATGAAAGCGTCATGTATACATACTTAGCCCAGGCAGGTGATGGGCTGTCATCATGTGAGCCTATGAATGCCTGATTTCTCTGTGCTATGAAAACTCACAGTTCAGTTGCTTTACCTGAACTAAGAATAAACTGAATGACAGCAACAAAACAGCCAAGTCAAGCATTAAATAAAACAACAAGAGCCACAACAAAAACCATAGAAAGTACCACTTGGGAAAAAGAAAGCACAACAGACACGCCAAATACCCTCAAATACCCTCTTTAATCTTGTAATAAACAACAGACCACAGAATTAATGTGCTTTTGGCTCTGACAAGTATTTTACAATTCTCACTTACTAAAAACTATATTCAAGCCATAAAGTACTTTGTATCACTGTCTCCATAAGAAAAATAGAATTAACGTCCCCCTCAGCCTGTATGAAAGGATGATTGCATAACATGTATAAATGCAAGGAACTGAGGCTGAAATTGAGACCATTTGAAGTTGACTAATCTAAGAATGCACCAGAACCAAAAGGAGAAATCTTTACTTTTTGGAAGGGGTAAGCAGACTGCATTTCATCTCTTCTAAGATGCATATTTCTTTTAAAAAATGCATATTTCTTTCGCACTGTAACACCTGTGAAGTCAAGGTGTGGCTTATAAATGACACAATGAGGAAGCATCGTGTCATGTTTTAACTGATGGAGTTTTTCTTTTCTTTTTGGTTCATAAAAACAAAGAAACAAAAAAAAAAACCCCAAAACACTAAGAAACTGGAAAAATATATATGTATGTATATATATGCATAATCAGTTCTTTTGCTGTACACTTGAAACTAACATTGTAAACTGATTACCCTTCAATAAAAAATAAGAATTAAAAAAAACCTGGTGTGTCTTAGAACCAGTGGAATCTCAGACTTGTGGAAATATGGTAAACATGTTGTTTCTTGATTTGCAGTTTCAGAAACTTAGGATGATGAGAGGACAATTTTAGAGTTCTGTTTTTATTTCCTCTATTATAAATATTTATCAAATATATATTGCCTGCCCAGCACTTAGAGGTACTAGATGTAGTGCCCAGTATGGCTCAGGACAGCAACGCATAAACTCGGCGCTTTAATCCAGAGGGAGAAGATGCAGAGGAGACGGGGGAATTGTGAGCCTGACTTCTGATGAGAAGCTTTGGCTTTGGTTTAGATGTCAGTGTCATCTAGGAAAGAAAGAACATCTGGGTGGGAATTCTTTGTGCCCTTGGGCTGCCATTTCTCTGGGTCTGTTTTCCTGTTAATTCCACTCTTTACTTTGTCCCAGAAGACTCTGTGGATAAATAGGGCAACTACACACATATCAATTCCAGGTCTAAAAATGATACTCTCCGAAGGGTTTTGCTGCGAGAAAGAGGGGTAAAATCCACAGTATGTGAATTAAATGGAGAATCGAGTGAACCAGGCAGAAAGAATTCAATGTTCTGCCTGTGAACACAATTATGCCTGTCATTTGCACAGTGCTTTTCCAGCTCCCAAGCACCATCCCATTTGCTCTTCAGACTCCCCAGAAGGCAAGCAGAGCAGGGGTTGTTTCCTCTACCGTACAGATGAGAAAACACTCCCCACGGGGTGAGATTGCCCAAGATCACAAAGCTGGTAAGTCACTGAGCTAGAACCCGGGCCTTCCCACCAGGAATCCTCCACCCTCCCATCAAACACAGACTCACACTGGGCCAAATTTAACAGCCAAATCTAAAAATTAAATAAGACAATGTTGGTTGTCTGCCAGCAGCCAGGCTCACTTCTGAGTCCTGAGAATTGGTGTTAAAACATTTCATCTGTTTGAGCAGATCATTTCCATCACTCTGACTTTATTTGGCCCCCTGGAGACACATGGGCCATGTCCGCTTTGCATCATCTTTTATTTGGCAATCCCTGGGGCCCACTCGGGTGGGAGGTTTGCTGGGAAAATGGTGGTTCCGAGCCTTAGAAAATTTCCTTTTCAATCAGTGCTAATTTACTTCACGTCACTTGAGGATATTTGCAGCCTCTAATGTGCTGGCTCTGCTGCAGCTGTTTCAAATCTGAACTACATTTTGCAATCTCGCCGTCCAAGACAGGCTTAGACAGACAAATCAGAGCTGTAACTGGCAGCACTCCTCAGTTGTATTCCGAGTTCTGTGAATAAATCAATTCCCCAACACTAACTCAGTTTACTCAGCGATCTGTTTCTGAAAGCATAGAGTCTGCATAATATACAGATCCACAAAAGGAAACACACAAATACATTCAATACTTATGTCCAGCACACAAATTCCTCGCTCTCCCTGTGCACAATGACATAACAGTATCCAAATCACAATTTTAACTGGGGCACAGGAGGCAGTGGCTGCTGCGTGTTCTTCAGGGAAAGAAGGGTTTGAAAATAAGAGGTGGGCACCTTAGTTAAGCTGTCCTCCCCTAAATCACCCAGCCACACGCAATGCTCCCAGGGAACATGAGACGTTAGAGTGAAAAACGCCAAAATTGGAATTTGTTTGGCCAAATATTGAGCTATCTGTTGGTAACACTGATCTTTTGGCTCCAGAAGAAGGATCCACTCAGACCCACAACGTTTTCAGTCCTTTCTGTCTAGGTATTGAGTGGACTGCTGAAATGAAAACACAATCGCCAAGCCAGGATGGTGCCTGGATGGAAATGTGTTCTTCCTTCCACCTTTCCCCTATTCTTTCAAAACACGTGTTGTAGTTTTTTAAATGACTGTCAAAGCAATCGATTAGAGACTAGAGACTGGTATCACCAGTCTATAGATTGGTGGAACACATTCAAGATGAGCTGGTGACAAAGGGATGTGGTCTACGGCACCGGTGGTGGTTAGCATCTTTGGTGTGCCGTAACTAAACAGCCAGCTAGAAGGGACTCTGCACCTCCTCACCACACGATGCTCAACTTCTCTAAGCCACAGCTGCCTCATTTGGAAAACAGGGAGACACAAATACCTGCCTCCTGGCAGGGCTGCTGTGTATGGTGTGCAGGCTCTCCACAAGGCTGCCCAACTCAGGGCATGAGTAAAGTGTGAACTCTCGCTCGAGTTCCTCATGCTTGGTGGTGTGCCCAGGAAGGGGGTGCCTTTTCCCCATGTGTAGTGGGTTGGTTGTGAGCATAAATAAGATGATATAGGTCAATCACTTAGCACAGTATTTTTTTTATCTTCAAAACATCTTAATGGAGGAGGTATTATTATTTCACCATTTTACAGATAGGAAGACTGAGGCATCAAGAAGCGAAGTCACTTGCTCAAGGCCAAACAGCCAGGAGATTGTCAAGCTAGGACTGAATGAACCCAGGCAATCTGAGCCCAGAGCCTGTATTCCAGGCTGCTGGTATTTGAGGGCAGCATGTGTGGGCTCCAATCACACTCACAAAGTGTGTCTGGGGCCCAGCACTGGCTCTCAAGATGCTGAAAACTTTGCAATCAAAGGGTATAAAAACCTTTGCAAACAGGGCTCAAAGGGGAAAGAGTCAAGCCTGGAGCCATGTGGCGTGGGAAGGCTGAAAGGCACTTTAAACCTGTTTGGAGGACCTCCCCTGTCCTGGACATCTGTTGTCTCCACCTGCCCACCATCCATCGTTCCCTCCTGTGGTAACAGCCTCTTTGGGCAGACACATTCCCTCCTGACCATATTCAGTCTTAGTGGCATTGTCAAATAAGGTGGCCAATTCACTTTTGTCAAGACATGGACACATGGCCCACATGAAGCAAATCAGATGGTCTCCCTGGGTAAGTTGGAGATGGGATAAGGGGTGAGGACGCTTAGCCATGAGTAGGGACCTGAGGTGGGTGGAAGCTCAGGGAAGGATGAGGCAGGAAAGCGGGAGAGCTGGAGATAAGCCCCTCCTTACTTCTCAGCTCTACTGAGGGCTGGCGTTAATGCCTCTCCCCCACCAAAACCCACAGCATAAATAAAAACGAAAATTATGCCAAGTGAATTAAGCCAGTCACAAAATGGACAAATACTGTCTGATTACACTTAACATGAGGTGCCCAGAGTAGGCCAGTTCATAAAAAGAGCGAGAAAGTAGAAGAGTGGTTGCTAGTGGCTGGGCCCCTGAGTACAGTTTCAGTTTTATAAGATGAAAAGAACTCTGTGGACGGATGGTGGTGATGGGAGCACGACAATGTGAATGTACTTAATGCCTGCACTACGCACTTAACATGGTTAGGATGGTTCACTGTATTTTTATCACAGTTTAGAAAAAAGCTGTGCTATAGGAACATGCCCATCCTCTGACTTTTCCTACTCAGTCCTCCAGAGGGCCAAAGCCTGATATTCTGGTAGTCTAAATTTAAGAAATACTCTCAAATAAAAGTATATATGTTATCCTACTAGATGGCCAAATTCAAGAGGAGGGAGTAGAGGAAGAAATGGAAGGCAACGGATGGAGCGGACATCGTAACAGTCTCCCTGGAGATGCCCATGGTGGTTCCCTGATGCTTCTGTGTTTGCCATTGACAACTGT